GAATAGCAAACATATGACAATACTATTGCAGTTACTAAGTTTGCTTTGAGACCATTTAGAATGAAAGGTAATATTTCTGATTACATTTGAATATCTTAAGATATTGGACTATTATATAATCAGTTCCTAGGTATGACTTCTCCTTTACTTGAAAAAAATAGTTATAGACGTTATCCCTAAAAAAGAAATCTAGAAATTGGAGATTGATATAAGATTCAAGAAGAGTAACTTAGAGTAATTACTGCGTCTATTTCCTTCTCAATCTTCCACAGCAAAAGATACCAATAACATTGTCTTAGATTTACAAGATTTTTTTTTCTTTCCATGGGTTCCTCAAAGTTGTCAAAGATTTGCATTTAGTGTTTCATCAATCAATTCATAAATCTAATTAGAAAATATAATTGTAATATCTTGATTCATGATATGACAAAAAGATTTACATTATGCTTGAATTCTGTTTCTCAGGCTACACAAATTATTAGAGATCAATTTCAACAAGTTTATATCATCCAATAAAGGATGATTACTTGTTTGTCCTTATAAAGGAAGTAAGTTTGTTTGAAATATCTTGTCAGCTTCAGCTTTATCTTGTCCCTTCAGGGTTAATAATTTCCCCAGTGAAAGAAAAAAATAGCTGTCTTTTGAATATTTGGGATATATGTTGTATCCAGAAGAAATTAATCATAAGAAATATGAAATCAAGAGAGAAAGATAACAAACTTTGAACTACTTTCAGAAATTATTGTGAGATATACCAAATCCATGATGCCTCCACCGAACCAACCAATTACTAACATCTACACTTGCTTCTTGAAACGTATAAGGTAGGATGATTTGACTTAAGGTGTTTCTATAGGACATTGTGAGAAGAATAATGATACTTTGACTTAGGGTGTGGTTGCTCCGTGTTTTGTGATTTTGAGAGAATATTACTTTGTTTGTTCTTTGTATCATGGCAAGCAAGTCTTTCCTCCTAAATCATTTTTGGACTGAGATATATATGAACTTTGAATAATAATCTTGAGATATATAACAGTATTCACTGTGTGCCCTTAATATCTATATAGTTTTTCTTGTAAATTTTTATCTTTATCCTTATCCCTTCCACAAGTATGGAAATGGCTAGGTCAGGACTAGCCATTTCTGATGGCTGCTCAGAAGTGAAAATGGACTATGGACATATTGCTAGATCAATAACAAAAGGTAGACGATTCCACAATTGTAAAGTAAAGAGTAAGTGCTTGGGAAAAAAAGTAAAAGTGAATATGGCTTGAAAATGGGAGATTATAATTGTAAATAAATTTGTACTGTGACAGAAAATCAGTAGTTAAGTGACTATGCAATTGCCTAGGAGATAATTTACAAACTAGAGGAGCTTAGTTGGATCAGTTTCAAAAACCGAAATTTTTAGAGTTGGTTGAGAAATTTTCCCTTTGATTTCCCAAGCATGGTCTCTTGGACACAGAAAAATTGATGTGAAATACCAATTCCATTATAACCTGGAATTAGCACAAAGTATTCTTTTCATTTGTGTGGGCTCATAAGGGTGAGTTTGTATTTGCACATACTAGGTAAAACGTACTTCTGCCTGCAATGGTTAGAAGTGAGACAGGACACTCCTATCCACCATACGAGCTGTTAGATGAGGAAACATTTATAGTACTGTTTGATTATGATCAGCCTGTGCCTAGAGAGAGTGATAGGTAGAAACTGCTAAGAACAAGAATAGGGAGGATTCAGGTCCTTTGCTTCTGGTGAGCAATGCTGAGTAGTAGAAACCGGTGGAATAATTAAGCACAATCGAAAAAGCTTCAGGAATTTAGCAATATTACCTTCACAGAAGTTGGAAACTCTGTAAATCTCCTCTTATCACAAAAGCACTCCTCTTCTTACCCAAGGGCTGGTTTAGTTCAAGTAATGATGCAGAGACCTGGAGTAGTGTAAACACCCAGTTGTGTTGTGTATCCCTCAAGCAAGCTAATTTCAGGGAAGGTATTTGCTGATGAGAGAAAGTATGAATGTTATTAGTAATTGAGCAAAGATAAGTGCAAGGCAAATAATAAGTTAGTTGCCCTGAGCCCATTCAAACAACTCAAAGAATTAACAGCAACTCGAGCTCAGTATGGGCCAAGTGCTCCTTTGATGCAAATGCTGCTGGAATACAGGATTTTAGAAGCCTTACACTATGGGAAATGGAAACAACTGGACAACACTTGCCTGTCAAATGGAGACTATCTGCTGTAGAAAACAAACATGAAGAAAGATGTTGGGTCACAGATCAGAGAAATCTGACCCAACAAATTCCCTTTTCTTTTCATATGCTTATTGGTGAGTGACTTCATAGAAAAAGAAATCAGCAATTAATTTTTGAAATAGCATTATATGCCCAAGTAAATTCAGTGACAAGAAGGCCTGGAAGAAACTTCTGTCTGCTGAAGAGCAGAGTGAAGACTAATGTCAAGTATCAGGGACCTGATGAATTGTTTCAGAATGCTGCAGTAACCAAACAGATTAATTGGAGACACCGAAACTGGATACTTGAGAGGTAAAGCTAGCCTACAGCAATACTATTATAGTATTGAAGTCTGCTTTGAAACCATTTAGAAATAAAAGTAATATATCTGATTTTATGTGAATATCCTAAGATATTGGACACTCGTATAGCCATTGCCTAGCTGTGATTTCTGTTTTACATGAAAAAAAAAACAGTTAAAGATGTTTCTCCTGACAAATAAATTCAGAAATTGGAGATTGATATAAGATTTAAAAACCATTAATGAGAGTTGATGGGAGCTTTACACCTTGCATTGACTTTTGTTTCTTCCATAACAAAATATACCCATAATGTTGTACTATATTTAAAAGATTCTTTCCATACCATCCCCTGGGCTCACTGAAATTGTCAAAATTTGCAGTTAGTGTTTCATCAGTTAATTTCAAATTTCAAGTTAGAAAATAGAATTAGAACATCTTGCTTCACGATATGACAAATAGGTTTATATTATGGCAGAAATCTGTGGCTCAGGCTACATAAAATCTTACATTTCAATTTCCACAGTTTTATATTATGCTTTAATGATGAAGACTAGTTTGTCCATATGAATGGAGCAAGTTTGTTTCTAATATATTGTCAGCTTCAACAGAATCCTGTACTTTTAGAGTTAGTAATTGCCCCAGTGAAAGTAGTACAAAGACAGCCATTTTTTGAATATTTTGGGATATATGCTTATTCAGAAGAAATTAAGCCTCAGAAATTGGAAATTAAAAGAGAAACATCACAAACTTTGAATGACTTTCAGAAATTACTGTGGGATATACCAACAACCACTGTGCCTTCATGACACCCACCTAGTTCCTCTGTTTAATTGTGACTGTGTGATGCTTGAAATATTTGTGGGACACCTGGCAGTGAGAGAATGATTTGTCTCTGTGGCTTTGGCTGATACTTTGAAACCTGTTCCTCATGCAGCATTGCATTTTTCTGCATAAATATAGGGAGACTTATATTTTATTGATATTTATATATTATTTATATTTTGTTATTTTTTTAGCTTGCCTGGTGTTATGGCAAGCTGTTATGCCAAGCTTTGCTTGTGTCCATTTGAAACCTCCTTCATACTGTGAGAATACAGTGGAGAATCAGAGCAACAGGTTTTCCAAATGTAGGGGTGGAATAGGAGGCAGAGTAGAGGCTGCAGTCATGTTGGAAAACAGCAAAAGAAAATAATTAAATTTTAAAAAGATAACTAATTGTCATATAGGGATGGCAGATGGACATTTGATTCAAGGGCTCTGATAGTTTATGAAAACATATCTTATCAATTCAAAAAAATTTGTATTTAAGATATTCTATTAGTTTTTAGGTTTTTCAAGACATGGTTTCTCTGTTGCTTAGCAGCCTGTCCTGGAACTAGCTCTGTAAAGCAGGCCAGATTAAAACAAATGGAGACACACCTGCCTCTGACTCTTGAGTCCCAAGTTCTGACATTAATGTTGTGCACCATCCCCACATGGTGGATGTGTTTCTTTTGAAAAGATATCCTGCTTTTTTTCCACAGAAGATGAGAACATGTGTATTGTTTTCAGGCCAACGTTATTTGAGGGAGCACGAGCTCCCAGAAGACCTCTAGAATGCCTATAAAAAGTTTCCCAACAAGCATAGGAATAATTTTGGAGAAAACTACATGCAAATTTCCAAATAATTATATATTTTGATCTTTATTTAAGGTGGGATATTATATATAGAAATGAACCGTTTACATTGGAATTAATCTTAGTTTACTTATAAACATACAAGGTTGATTTTGGTATATGCATTTCTGCTCTTGGTTAAGGTTTTGTCTTAGCAGATCATTTAAATATCATGTATAGCTGAGAAGATTAATAGATAGTCATCAATAATAATCAAAATCTTAGTAACATTATTTAGTTTTTCTAGATATGCAGAGATATAGTTCAGTCACATTGATAATCTTCAACACTTCAAAGAACTATGAACATAACATTTAAAAGGTTTTAAGAACTTACAATTTTCTGAACAGTGGAACATATCTGCTTCTGGCAGCACAAATTCCTTCATTTGTGGATGCTTAAAAGGGAGAGTTATGATTTCTACCCTGAACAGCAGAGATGCCTCCCCTGAAATCGTTAGAAGTGAGAGAAGACTCTCTGCAGACAGGGGAGCTGATAGATTAAGAAATATTTATGGGACTGTGATACAATCAGTCAGAGCCTAGTAAGCTGTAGAAGAAGCCACAAATAACATAGTTAGGATCTTTAAAATAAATCACTTTTGACTAGAAATTCTGAGAGTCAAAGATGGTAGAAAGCTAGAACAGGAGCTAAAAGGCCTGAGAGACTTAGTAATTTAAAATTCACAGAAGTTGAAGTCTCTGAAAATCTTCTGTCATAAAACATTATATTTCTTACATAGTGGCTGGTTTAGATCCATCTATGGTGCAGAGATCTCCTGGAGCAAGGCAAACACCCACCTTTTTTTGTGCATTTTTCCTACAAGCTAGTTTCCAGAGAAGGAGTGAGACGATGTGAAGATGTTCAGGGATTTCCAGTATTTCTAGAATAGAGCAATGAGAAGATCAGGGAAATCTACTCAGACAACGAGACCTGAAACCATTAAAACAAGGCAAAGTATTAAAAGCAACCTAAGCTCAGTGTGACCAATTTTCTCCTTTTACACATGCTGTTAGAGTATATGGATTTAAAGCCAAACTCCAGGGACTTGAAATAGATGGCCAAAGCTTGCCTGACAGGAAAAGGCTACCTGACGAGGAAAACTGAGTTTTCAGAACAAAGTCAGTCCACCGCTGTGAGTAATATGGCCCAAGTAGATCTTGGAATGAATTTCTTTCTTTGGGAGAGCAGACAATGGACTTACATTAAATAATACAGGGGCCTGTTGAGTTGTTCAAGGATTCTGTTTCCTCGCTGATGCAGCCATAAATAAGAATATTAAAAATCCAGATGTTGATTTTTGATTATTAAACAGCTATCCTACGAGAGTACTAATGTAATATATCAGCTTACTTTGACATGTTTTAGAAAGAAAGGTGCCATTTCTGATCACATTCAAAATTGTTGAGGAATTTTAACCTCATACACCCAACGACTAGTTATAGCTGCTGCTTTTCAGGAGTAAACACGTAAATATGTTCTCTAACAACATAGAAATCTGTAAAATGGAAACTGATACAAGAATTATAAATAGTTAATAAGACTGTGCACCTAGGTTGAGCTTTAGAGACTAGACTGTGTAGTAATATGGGGCGGCAGGGCTGCGTCCCCCACACCCGGCCGCCCACATGGCTAGCTTAAGCCCCGAAATAATTACACGGACACTGTATTCTTTTAAGCACTGCTTGGCCCTTTAGCTCTAGCACTTACAGGCTAATTCTCACATCCCAATCAACCCATCTCTAATAATCTGTGAGAACCAGTCTTACCGGGAAGATTCTAGCCTAGTCCATCCTGGGTCGGAGCTTCATCCCGGGAGCGGGGCATGGCGTCTCTCTCTGAGGCGTCTGCTCCCGAGAGAGCTGTGGAGTCTCTGAGCTCACTTCCTCTTCCTACCAGCATTTTGTTCTGTTTACTCCTCCCACCTATCCTCTAACCAATAAAATGGGCCAGGGCAGTGCCTTTATTAGCCAATGACCTTCCTCCATCATTTCCCCTTTTTCGGTTTAAACAAAAAAAAAGGCTTTAACATAGCAAAATTACATATAACAAAACAGTTATCAAGTAAAAGTTATAATAATCCTTATCATAACTAAGGAAAAATATAACTAACTATTCTTAACTCCATCAAAGACTCAAGAAAGATACAATACTACCTAAGCAAACAAGAAAAAAGCAACTTTTAAAACTCTAGACATGACAGAGACATCTTGCTGCCTGGACAGTCACCCAAGGTTCCTCTGTACCGTTGGGGTATCCATCTTCAGCCTTCAGGCCCATGGTATCCAGCAGACATTTCCATAAAGCAGGAAAATTCAAAGTCAGTTCAGTCACTATATGTTGTGTCCTGCAGAATGTCTCGCAGACTCTTTCATGAATCAGGACCCCCAAAAGATCATTTCACCTTAGGCAAGTTCAGTAGTCCTTTCTCTGTGGGTTCTCTGTGTCCAGTTTATGCAATAGTCCAGGTAAGAGCAGTTTCTTGCCCAAATGGCTATCAAACTCCATAAGCATCCTCTTCGATGCCCATCTTCCTCTTGAAGTAGATTGGTGCTGCCAGGAGCAGAGTGTTTCATTGTCATGAAAAGTCCTAAGTTATTAAAACATTTAAAATGCCATATTCTATAATCTTTGAAAAATATGAAGAATGCCTATCTAAAATATATCTACGCACATCTAGAAAATATTAACTAACATGACTACAAACTTTACTATTATCGATTATCCATTAACAACCTATATTTCTTAATTATACCGTACATATTTAAATGAACTACACAATCACAATACCTTAATCAAAATCAGAAACACTTATATATATAACAAAATTGACCGTAAATCTCTATCAATAAAGCAAAATCTATACTAATGCAAATTATTCATATCTATATCATATCCCCCTTTAAATGTAAAAGAACATTTATAAACATTTTTTGGGAATTTGGGCGCAGGTATTTCTCTCCAAACTGCTTCCTGCTGAATGGGGGCGTCGTTAATTTGGTCTTTCATGGTATAACCTGTGTGCTAGTTTCATCTCAGTTGGCAGTTGAGCGAAGCAATTTTTTGAAGGCGTTCACACCAACCCTTCAGGAGGGCGTGGTCCATCATACCAAATCGGAATAGAAGAAATGAACAGCGTCTCATCCTCTGTGAAAACAAAATAAGAAACTCCTTTCCAAAGTATCATGTCTTTAGATCCAAATTTCAAATTTAAGGCATTTTCAAAATATCTATGTTGGATTAGGTCAGCAGCATTTATAAATAAATATCTTTTAGCATCTGTTGCTCCTTCCTCAGCGTTTAAATTATTTAAAGAGAGCATAATAGCATACAGTATCAAGATTCTCTGTGTATTTTCCATCTTATTACACCTTTGTTTTAACCTCTATTTCATTTATTTTTACTTTTAACTTTTTGCTTTTTGAGACAGGTTCTCTGTATCTTTGACCTGAAGTAACTCTGTAGACCAGGCTGTCTTTGAACTCTCAGAGATCCGCCTGTCTCTGCCTCCCAGGCATTCGGGATTAAAGGTGTATGCTACTACACCTTGAACTCACAGAGATCTGTTTGCCTCTGCCTTCTAGGTACTGGGATTAAAGGCGTGTGCTACCACACACAACAACTCTCTTCCTTTTTTTTTTGTTACTTTTAAGAACTTTAAATTTTAGTCTGCATATATTTTTAACACACTTTAAACCATTCAAAAATTTTCTCTGTCTTTGAATCTCTCTTTACTGTATATCTCTCTTTTTCTGACCACATGAATCTTTAATTTACCAAGCAATCTCAGTAGGACTAAAGGCGTGGCTTTGCCAGCTAGATCCAGTCCATTCCTTAGCTTTCCAGCCTCATGGCGGATATACAGGCTGTAGCCATGTTTACTGCAACAACTGTGTGGCATTTCAAGGTCCCTGCCAGCAAGTGAGCTACAACAGACAACACTCACGTCCTCTCTTGGTAGCTGGCCCTCCTGCCTCAAACGGTCAGAGTTTGCCCTGGCAGGACAGCCCAGAAAGCCAGCATTTTTAAATGGCGCAGCTTTTTTCCTGCTAAGGCTGAAAACCGAAAAGCATGCGTTCAGCTTTTCGTCAACACCGTTTAAGTGTTTCGTGGCAGGACCTCTTAATGAGCTGCAGGCTTTGCAGCTAAAGCTGAGTCAGGAAGCCTCTCTTAGATGAGGCGCTTGCTTGCCTCTAGCAAGCAGAGTAGAACCGAGAAATTGCTGCTACCAAGAAACCAGGCACAATGCTTTCATTTTGTTCTAGAATTACTTCCCAAGCTGTCTCAGGCTTTATGTGGAAGCAGTTGTCCACGTGGGCGCCATATGTAGTAATATGGGGCGGCAGGGCTGCGTCCCCCACACCCGGCCGCCCACATGGCTAGCTTAAGCCCCGAAATAATTACACGGACACTGTATTCTTTTAAGCACTGCTTGGCCCTTTAGCTCTAGCACTTACAGGCTAATTCTCACATCCCAATCAACCCATCTCTAATAATCTGTGAGAACCAGTCTTACCGGGAAGATTCTAGCCTAGTCCATCCTGGGTCGGAGCTTCATCCCGGGAGCGGGGCATGGCGTCTCTCTCTGAGGCGTCTGCTCCCGAGAGAGCTGTGGAGTCTCTGAGCTCACTTCCTCTTCCTACCAGCATTTTGTTCTGTTTACTCCTCCCACCTATCCTCTAACCAATAAAATGGGCCAGGGCAGTGCCTTTATTAGCCAATGACCTTCCTCCATCAAGACTGGATTAATTTCTCATTAAGGTATGGACCAAATGGTACCTATAAAATGTACTAGAATTAATAGATTGATTTTTACCATGCCTTTTGTTCCAAAATATTTCTAAAGATTTTCATGTAGTGTTCCATTGGCCAATTAAAGGACCAAATTGGGAGATATCATAGATAAGTGTTGCCTTAGGGAATGGCAAACAGTGTAATATTATGCAATATATGTGTAGTTCATGCAATACAAAATATTCTAAATATCTTCAACTAGTTTACATTATCCATTACGGATCCTGTTTGTCCATGAAAAATGAAGGAATTTGCATGCAATTCTTGGACAGCTTCAGCAGAACCTTTCCCTTATGGGTAGTTCATTTCCCACAGAAAATACAAATGCAACCACCTTTCCCAACCAGGACATATATTTCATCCTAAAGAAATTAAGACTCAGTATTTGATAATTGGGATCAATAGTTTGAAAACTTTGAAGGAGTGTCAGAAATGACTGGTAAATATTCAGTGAATGTGCCTATTTTAAAATTGTCTACTGAAAATCTTGAGCAATTTAGTGACATTCTTTTTTTTTAACTTTTTTTTTATTGAGAAAAGAGAAAAAAAAAAACAAATTTCCTCCTCCTCCCAGCCTCCCGTTTCCCTCCCCCTCTTCCCACCCTTCTCCCCCTCCCCCCACTCCTCTCCCCCTCCCTCTCCAGCCCAAAGATCAGTCAGATTTCCCTGCCCTGTGGTAAGTCCTAGGTCCTCCCCCCTCCGTGCATTTCTAGGAAGGTGAACATCCAAACTGGCTAGGCTCCCACAAAGCCAGCACATTACGTAGGTTCAAAACCCCGTGCCATTGTCCTTGGGTTCTCATCAGCCCTCATTGTTCGCCATGCTCAGAGAGTCCAGTTATATCCCATGCTTTTTCAGTCACAGTCCAGCTTGCCTTGGTGAGCTCCCAATAGATCAGCTCCACTGTCTCAGTGGGTGGGTGCTCCCCTCGTGGTCCCGACTTCTTTGCTCATGTTCTCCCTCTTTCTGCTCCTCATCGGGACCTTGGGAGCTCAGTCCAGTGCTCCAGTGTGGGTCTCTGTCTCTGTCTCCATCCATCACCAGATGAAGGTTCTATGATGATATGCAAGATATTCGTCAGTATTGCTCTAGGATAGGGTCATTTCAGGTTCCCCATCCTCAGCTGCCCAAGGAACTAACTGGGGACCTCGGCTTGGGTATCTGGGAGCCACTCTAGGTTCAAGTCTCTTGCCAACCCTAAGGTGGCTCCCTTAACTAAGAACCGTGCTTCCGTGCTCCCCCATCCAACCTTCCTTCATCCCAATCCTCCCCCTTTCCCAAGCTCCCCCCCATTCTCCCCCTCTCCCCCCTCTCTCCCCATTTCCCCTTACCCCCATCCCACCCTACCCCCAAGATCTCAATTTTCTCCCCGGCAATTTTGTCTACTTCCCATAGCCAAGAGGACAACTATATGCTTTTCCTTTGGTTCACCTTCTTACTTAGCCTCTTTGGGATCACCAAGTGTAGACTCCGTGACCCTTGTTTATGGCTAGAAAGAAGTGACTCAATTATCCCAGGTTTATATTGAAACTTGGGGTCAAATGTTGACTCAGGTGAGCATTTCTTTGCCTTTTTGAATACACAATTTCAATAAATAAATAAATAAACAAATAAATGACTGTGAGTTATCCTTCAGTCACGACATATTCACTGCATCATGCACTTTTTATTCTAAATTTTCTAAATGTGAATTCCCACAAGCATTATACCATGCATAGATTTTGGCATGATGGTGTAGAAGAGAATTTTGTTAAAAGCAAATGAAAAGACCATTGCAATGGATTATGGACAGGACAAAACCATGCTATAATATAGGGTCAAGTGCATGTGAGCTCATGTGTGTGTATGTGTGTGTGTGTGTTTTTACAGGAAGAAAGTGAACCACAATACCTTACTGAAAGTTTGGTGTAATTGATTGACCAGAAGATTACAAGACTAGATGATATTGGAGCTGCTAGTGCTCACCAAGTAGTAATGGATTGAGATTGCTGAAATTGTGTTTTTGAAACTCTGATGATAATAATGGATACACATCATTGCCACAACGTGTATAGAGTGTGAGTTTATATGTATGCATTTCTATTTGCAAAAAAATAATTTTAATAAGCAGTTGTATTTATTCATACCTTTTGTAGTTCATATATTTTATTGATCACGTTGAGTGACAATTGTTCCAGGGAAATGCTACTTACTCGTCCCAGGCATCCTGCTCACTTAACCCCAAAATAATAAAACAGAAATTATATTAATTAAAACACTTCTTAACCCACTTGCTCTAGCCACTAATCAGCTAACTCCCATATCTTGATTTAATTCATTTCTATCAATCTCTATATTGCTACATGGCAGTGGCTTACTGGGAAAGAGATTCAGTATGTCTGAATCTGGTGGCTCCGTGGCAGCTCTCTCCTCTGCTTTTTTCTCGATTCCTATCTAAGGCATCTATTTCCCCTGCCTATCTAAGTTCTGCCCTATCAAAAGGCCTAGGCAGTTTTTTTTTTATTGACTAACCAATGAAAGCAACATGTAAACAGAAGTCCCTCCTACACCAATATGTATGTATTTTACATAAAAATTATGTCATAATAAGGATATTTTCTTAATAGGAATGTTATCTTGTAAACCAGTATGAAAGTGCAAAAATTAAAAAATGGTATCTAAAAATGGCATGATAATTTAGTAACAATTTGATGTTTTCATTTGGAAAAACACAATATACCTATTATTTTTAGAATTTCACAATTGTCTGCATGCTTCTATTAGTGTTTTACATATGTGTACATCTTTTGACATTGATTTCAGAGTAATAGTCTTAACGTGTTGAAATGTTTTGAGGTACTTTTATATGAACATTTAATTTTTTATAAAATTCACCACAATGTGTTCTCTAGATTTTCCCTGTAATCACCAATATCAATACTCCAGCCTCAGGACATTTATCTATTCTCTCTTTTCAGTGACATCGGATTTCAGGGAAAATGTGTGTGTGTGTGTTTGTGTGTGTGTGTGTGTGTGTTTATGTGTGTCTTTTTTGTTATGGGGCATTCTTCTAGCACATGGGCATCATTTCAATGCTAGCATACATGAGAAAATCTATCATTTCAATTTGTCATTTCTATAAATAATTTAAGCCATTTTGATAATATTTTGCATTCATAAAGTTCCTCAGCATACAGTAGAACATTCTCTAGATTTTATAATGAAGCAATTAAATATAAAAACTTACACAATGGAAATTCAATAATAAAAGTGTACATATACATAAATACCAATCAATTACTATTTTTATGTGCTAGTAAAATAGGATGCAACAGCGTGAACTGTGGCATATGTGGTATAAAATCATGCAAGTAAATCTTACAGATTTCTTCATTCATGCTCCATGTCCTGGGAAACTTGATAATGTTAATATACCAGTTTTCTTCACATGTATATATTATAAAAATATCCAGTTGTTCATATTTCAAATTACCAGTTCAATGAGAGATCCCTCTATGAGTCTGTTAATTTTCAAATATAAAAGCAGAAAATAACATAAGGGTTATTATTAAAAGCTGACATTGATGTTTTTAAATGTAAGTAACTACTCTATTACTTTCTTTCCTCTGATTGTATTTTTGCATTTGTACAGATTCTACAATTGTAGCCTGCCTCCTGAAGTAAAACCGTAGGATCACTACACTATCTGCTGTTTTATATACTCCACAATACATCAAATAAGAGCAACATTCAGAGTCTCCCATACAATAACACTTAGAAATAAATAAAATTAAGTTTTACAGTTTATCTTAAAAATAAGTTATTTAAATAATTGTTTACAGTATTAGGATCTGAGAGTCAGTCTATTAAACCAAGAATATAGCTAAATTTCTATAATCATCCTAAAATGTTAATGTCAAAACCGCAAATAACAGCAGTATAACATATTGAGGCAAAATGTGTGATTTTTCCAGCTACTTCAAATGTCATAAATTGACAAAATTTAGCTCTTCAGAGGTTATTCCATGTTTCATATGTATAGACATGTCTAAATTTTCACACATAGCTTCTCTTAGATATGCAAATATATAATTGACAAAAGGAAAAATTTGCAAAATGCAAAAATCAATCAAATTCCCTATTGTTAGGGTGATAGTGGTAAGAGAATCATAAACTTCTTCTGCAACATTTCTGAAAGAATTAATTTTCCAAAATTCTCATAAATATTTATCCCTAGACCCACAGGAAACATTGACTCTAAGTTCCAGAAAAAAAAAAGGATAAAATTGGGGTATTAAAGGGCAAAATTATAGAAATCTTAAATGTCCATTAAAATTAAATGAAAGCAAAGAAACAATGAAAAATGTTTAGCATAATGACATCCCTCCAGGAAATGTCACAAAGATGGAAAACTCTCTACAATTAACACAATTAGGAGAAAACCACTAACAAATGTTGAAGGCTAAGAAAAAATAATTATTTTCAACTGTACAGTAATATTGATAGGCCTTTGTATTAAAAAAGTCAATGTTAAATCGGTTCTATAAAATCACAAGAGTGTGTATTCAGTATGGAATTCTGGTGTATAAAATCATATCTGCACAATAAAATATAATAATTTTTGTGGGATACTTACTGCTTCCTGATTCAGTTTTGCACATCATGTTGTGCTTGACTCCTCATGCTCTTCTGATCTCTCACATACTAACTCTGCACGGATTTATTGCTCCATTTTTCCCATGGTTTGAACATTCTGACTTTTCTTCTTGTTGCACTTAGGGACTTTATGCCTGACCATTAGAACATAGTTACGTTGTCTAGTAAGATGCCTAGTTACCCATGTAAAAAAGGAGAATTTGCTCCTTTCCCTTACCCTTTATTTACCTGGATTCTTCTCTTGAATAAACAAGTCTTGATGAGAATCCTGTCTTGCCTCCATCTCCGGTATCTCTTGTCCCAACTATTCTCACTTCCCCTCGAGGGACTCTGTTGACTTTCAGGTGGGCAAGGGTAGAGTGGTGCCCAAAGTGTGTCTGGAACAAGGGAGATTCAGTGAAGAAGCTGTTCAGAGAGGCCCATATAAAGTGAAGTATAAATAAGAGGAAGAAAAACACAGGAACCTGCTGTGTCTTCTAAACCTCAGAAAGCAGAACAGTGATCACAGGACAAACAATTACTTAGCATGAAATGAGACATGCATTCAAGGTGTGAGGGGTAAATACTAAAATTAAAGTATAGGTTTTTTGAGTATATTAAAGATGTTTTATAGATGAGAAAAAATGATAGAGGGTCAGAGAGGCTCTTAAAGATTACTGTTAAGCATTTACCAAGAACTGTTCCTATAACTGTCTTTTTTACTAGAATTAATAGTTTTTTTTTTATTTTAGAGGTATTATGATTTTGTAGTGGGCAATGTTATTGGGATAGAAGAGAAAGTATTATTAAAAGATAAGTTGTACATAATGCATAAAAAGGAGCCTAAATATTTGCAATGGCAAATATGTTTTTTTTTTTAATTTGAGAAGGCTCAAATTGATGCAGTCAGCAACAATCCTCTGCTAAGGGAAATTATTTTTTCTATGTTAACAGGTAAGTGGAACTTGTGATAATCCTAATTAGCAGGCTCATACCCCAGTTGAAATACATGAATAATTGAGAGAAATGGGCATGGAAACATGGGAGCATCTTCGCTCCATGGGAGAGAATGATGGTTCGTGGATTAAAGCTATCCAGAAATATAATGAGCCTTACATTGAATTCCTAGTTCGACTAAAACAAGCAATAGAAAGAACTGTAATTGGAGAAGAAGCAAAGAAATGACTTCTGAAAAGGCCAAGCATATAAAAATGCCAAGGTGTGTTATAATGAGCTATGCTATCAGTTCAGGAAACATGAAATATTAAAAGTTATAGGAATGTATGAAAAGATATTCAATCTGAAAGAAAAGTGCAATTGGCTTCTGAAACTATGGCCACCATTTAGTATAATTTGTAAATTAAAATAAAAATTTTAAAGATTTAAAATACTTTGGATATTGGAAAATCAGTCTCTAATCAAAAAAGATCAGACAAATGTAAAATTAGTTAAAGAGCATATTTAAAAGGCCTTTTTGAATAGGTTATAACCTATAATCACCTGCAAAATGTCTGAAGTTCGGACATTTGAAAATTTGGAAATGCTCGAAGGGATCATTGGTATCCTTTTCCTTTGTTAAAGATGACATTGGACATTTACATGCTAATCATCTACATGTTCAAGATAAAATTCCATTTAGATATTATAATCATACTTTTCTTGGACAGCACAGTAGAGGGTGCCTGAACTGGCTTTATCCTATAGCCACACTGATGAATATCTTGCATATCACCATAGAACCTCGTCTGGCAATGGATGGAGATAGAGACAGAGACCCACATTGGAGGACTTGTACTGAGATCCCAAGGTCCAAATGAGGAGAAAAAGGAGGGAGAACATGAGCAAGATAGTCAGGACCTTGAGGGGTGCACCCATCCATTGAGACTGTGGACTGATCTAATAGGAGGTCACCAAGGCCAGTTGGACTGGGACTGATGGAGCATGTGGTCAAACAAGACTCTCTGAATGTGGCTGAAATGAGAGCTGACTGAGAAGCCAAGGACAATGGCACTGGGTTTTGATTCTACTGCATGTACTGCTTTGTGGGAGCGTAGTTTATTTGGATGCTCACCTACCTAGACCGTGATTGAGGGAGGATAACGTTGGAGGTCCCACAAGGCATGAAACTCTGACTGCTCTTTGGACTGGAAAGGGTGGGTGAAGGGGGTGGAAGGAAGGGAATGGAAATGGGAGGAGGAAAGGAGGTGGAATTTTATAATAAAAAGTAAAAAATTCCATTTTGATTAATTAATCATACTTTCAAGTCCGTTACATTTTAAAACAACAAATTGCAATTTTTAAAAGGAAGATTTGGTAAGGAATAAATATGAAATATTTGGAAGAAAAATTGCAACTTTATATTAATACATAGTAAATTTCTTAAATCTGCCCTGAAGGGATATTCTAATTAGAGTAGAGCAATATTTTGCTCATACTCCTAATGTTGAATTAGCAGAAAAATTGCCATAAATACTGAATTGCAGCCTTCATTTCTAATGGAGAAAGGGAGAGGGTATGGTTTTGGTAGTTCAGGATGAGTGACAATTATGACTCCTGAAGTAGACATTCCAATATTGGCCATGATAAAATTATACTCATGGAAGTGACCTCAACAATACTGATCTTCACCACGATCACCAACTTGGGGTTAGGTGAAATCTCTTGTGCTCTATAGTCAGATGATTATCCAGCAGTCCAAAAGACCAGTTACAGCTGAATATTTTTTCTGGCCGTATGTGCTCTGTTAATTGTCTCTTTTATTCAGGGATCAGCTCTAAATAATTGTGCTTATGTCTCTTTTACACCTATGTTTAAGCCTGTCTTTTGGGGAGATACTGATGTTTTAGAGTATATCACTGTAAGTATCCTCTCTCCTCCTTGGAATGACTTGACTTATCTGAATAATTTTGATGGGACCTCTTATAATTTTACTTATATGGATGATAGAAAGCCAAAAAGCTTTGGAAGTGGTCTTTGCTTATAAGTGGGATTACATCATTGGTTACAACCTGGAATTAAAATTTGCAGATCTCGTACTCATCTTCAAAGGCTTTCCGAATGGTAAATTAATCAGACCTGGTACAATTATAATAATTCATAATGAATTATGATATCCTGTATGACCAGAATTTACATATTGTGGTTAAAATATCAGCAATTTATTTGGAAGACTTGTTTGGGCAAACTTGGCAAAATAATTCAAAATGAATAGATCCATTGATGCCCATATTTTCAATTTATTAACACTTGTTCTGAATGGAATATTATCACTTGTGATTTGCTTAATGTTACCAGGTTGAATTGAGTCAAGAACGAATTGATAACTGGAAGACATCTTCTGTCATGGAGAGATGGAGGAATCAGTGATAATCACATTCCTTAATCACAGAGGCTACTGCAATTTAGAAGATTGTGGCTACCTTAAACTTGTTCAGCTTTTAAATGGCTCATTTATTGCAACACAAGTATCTGCTTCTACTTTTAATTTTCACTTACTTTAAGTAGTAATGTTACTGCCTCTGTACCACTACCACATGCATTTTTGTTGGAAGAATTAATTTTACAACTGGAATTAATTTTGTGAATGTTAATTGTATTTATATATTAATTCCACTTTTAAGTTTAATCCTCATAATCAATCACTTATGATATTACAACAGTATACACATATTTGGCTGCCAGTAACTTGGGTCATTCTTGGGCTCAAAATCCTCTAGATAATATTGTAGAATTCTTCAAAAAGATATTGAAAAGATAAAGCACATGTTTGGTTTAATAATAGTTGTCATTCTTAATCTTACTGCTGTTTTTGCTACTACTTCTGTGGCTGGTTTATAGTTTATAGAGACAGAGAATTTTGACCAATATGAGTACTCCAGCCTCATGTCATTTTGCTGTTCTCTCTTTTCAGTGACATCTGACATCAGGGAAAATGTGAGAGTGTGTGTGTGTGTGTGTGTGTGTGTGTGTGTGTGTGTGTGTGTTTTGATATGGGCATTCTTCTAGTACATAGGCATCATTTCAAAGCTACCAACCTGAGAAAATCTATCTTTCCTCTTACATCATTTCTGTAAATAATATAAGACATTCTGATAATATTTTGAATTCATATTGTTCCTCATAATACAGTAGAACATTCTCTGTTTTTTGTAGTGAAACAATTACATAAACAAATTTATATAGTTTAAACTCAATAATACAAGTGTACATATACATAAATACCAATAAATTACTATTTGCATGTGTAACTAAAATAAGATGCCACAGACTTGAAATTTGCCACATGTGGTATGAAAACAGGCAAGTAAGTCTCAGATCTCCTGTATTCACTGCATATGCTTAATATCCTGAGAAAACATGATAATGTTTGTATATTAGTTTTTTCTCATGTATGTATTAGAAATAGATCCAGTAGTTAATATTTCAAATACTATTCCATGGACAGAGACCTTTATGAATCTGTGGATTTTTTGAACATAAAAGTAGAAAATAACATAAGGGTTATTATTTATAGTACACACTGATATTTTTATTTGTAAGTAACTATTCTACTACATTCTTTACTCTAATTGTATTATTGGCATTCTTACAGATTCAACAATTTTTGTCTGACTCCTAAACTGAAACCATAAGATGACTAAAGTGTCTGTGCGGTTTTTATATAATCCACACATATATCAAAGAAGAACAACATTCAGGAGACACTCATACAAATCTAGAAATTTAATAAAATAAAGTTTTACTGTTTATCTTATAAATAAGATATTTAATCAATATTTTACACTGTTAGGATCTGATTGTCAGTCTCTTAAACCATTAATATAGCTATAATTTCTAATAATCATCCTATTATGTTATGGTCAAACCCACAACTAACAGGAGAACCAAATGCCTAGGTAAAATGCATGATTTTTTCAGCTAATTCAAATGTCATTATTTGTCAAAATTTATCTTCAGAGGGTATTATTGGTTACATATGTATAGACATGTCCAAATTTCTAATATTTGATAATTTAGAACTGTAGCTATAGAATTGAAAGAAAGAACAATTTGCCAATTTCAACAATTGAGCCTACTTTATATTGTAAGTGATAAACACAATCAGAAATTTCATATATGTATATTTTATAGATGGCAGAAATATTGTTACAGATTGAAATGGAGGCTCTTGATTCCAAAGTACCAATGTTTTCCAGTCTCAACATTACTAGCAGATATACACATTTAGAATCTGAGATGAACTGAGATGAACAAGATAAGTTCTGAACATTTAATGGATATAAATCAAGGTACAAAATAACAAAGATATCTATTGTGTTAATGATTTTGAAGGGAAGTATGTAATACTTCCCTGACATCACCAATAAACACTGGATTTTAAAAAGCATATGGTGTCTGA